ATCTTAGGTAATGCTTTACCAAATTGTAGCAGTAGTAGAAAAGCAGAAGTAAAACGACTATTTTCTCCTATAAATATTTTCTTCAAGGCATATTTTTTCAGTGTAGTACTGAATGATCAAAACTGTTTGCATCCAACCAAAATTTACAATCACGATGCTTGCGAATACTTTTGTTACATTCACATTCTATACTGAATGGAACTCTGCCATTCAACAACACATTACGTTTGTTTTTGTTTCAAAATAATTTAAGCCACTCAGGAATCAGGTTTTTTTTTTATACAGCCAAACAATCAAAATTTTGAAACGAGTGCCAAGTGAATGCATATCCTACTGATTCAATCATTTTACAGCTCTGCTATTTGCGTAATAAGATTAGCAAAGTCGCCAAAGGCTATTCATGTTAATGTATTGTGGAGCGATTTTCTGTCATTCCTTGTCAAATTTGGTTTGGAGACAAACCCGTTTCCGGTTTTCGAATAAAAAATGATGCTGAAGTTGACACAAGGCCAACACCGGCTTGGCGTTAAACCAAATTTGACAAGGGATGACGGAAAATCGTTCCACAGTACATCCTTATCATACCCTGTCGGAAACACCAACAATGAAACGGGCTATTCATGTTGTTCTAAATTTGATACTCCATTTTTAAAAAATTTTAGGGCATTTTCGTTATATATTACAGGTTAATGTTGTTTCCATACATTTTGAGAATATGTGAATCAACCTGTAGAATTTTATTACAACTTGACTTTTTTTTTAATTAAAAAGTTTCCCTTACGACATTGTCTATTTCTATTAAGTTTAGAAAATAGCATCTGACGACTCCACCTACATACGTCTAGTTGATCGTTAAAATATTACTTGGGAATCCAATTAAATAATGCGTTCCAGGGGCAAATGGACAACCTCGAGATAAGTTAATGCCAAAAAACTTCAAAAATTTATTCCCTTACGAATTAGCCAAAAAGGTGGGGCAATTTTATTGTAAATTAAAACTAGTTTTGTAAGTTTTCCAAGACGTACATTTCCATGATGCAATGCCCAAATTAAGAGTACCGCGGAACGCCTGAAAAGCTTGTTGTGCAGTTGTACTCGTAACTTTCGTGAAAAAATCACACAGCCTAAAAATGGGTTTATAAATTTATATAAGAGATAACATACATTTCGTGATTATTTCTGATCGGAACACTATTCTTACCTATGCGTACTTAGATTTTTACATATAACAATAAATCATCACTATGAACGTTTTAAGAACCTTTCGCCATGCGCCCAAATAAAAACTAATATGCAACTATTAAAGCTAAATGTCTATATATTTATGGATGAAAAACTCGTCCTCGTTGCAGAAATTTCAATTTATATAAAGTTTGTATTGTGACGCTCAGCCATCTTTTCAACTGTGGCATGTGGGTGATTCTGGAATTCGAAGAGTTCTGGATTGCCGAGTATGTCCGTAAAGTCAATCATTTCATCTCTGGCCAGCAGAACGTCGCGCATCATATTGCTTTGTATTAGAAAATAACGCATTACCCACACATGTGAAAAATATTTTATAAGCAGTGACCACTTACCTGGAATTCATGAAAGGTAGGCGACCAACTTGGTTGGCGGCATGCAATTCCATAGCCATTTTTAGCGGTACTCCAAGACCTTCCCTATTGCGAGTTACTTGCATTTGCCAAGCGTTTTGATCGACATCCACTGGCGCCTTGGATGTGGTTTGCATTAAGGCATTCTGCTTCACGGGTGCCGACCAATTTGGTGAGACGTTTATAACTTGTGGTAGTGCATCCTAATTGAGTTGTTGATTTGATTTGAATAGTAAATATGCATTTGTTTCAAGAAATAATACAAATTCACTTACCATGATGATATTTCCGATTTTTTGATGTGCTGAATGACAATACAACTTGTCTCCATAGATGCCACAGTTTATTTCAAAAATCAAGTTGACATTTCCATATTCGAGTGATGCCAACGTTTTGCAAATTATGGAATTAAACCTGAAATATTATGAAGTGTTTACATATGCGGGATTTTATTATTATAAGAAATTAAGCAAAAGTGAAAGAAATGGTAAGGAACACCCGTTAAAGAGCACGTTACAAGATTTTGCAGGCAGCTGTTAACGTACGACACATTACAAAAGGTTTATTACTGCCAAAAACAACTTTTCCTGTAAATTCTGTAAGCCTGGAAAAGGCTTAGGGCCGGTCACTCAATGTCTGGTTAATGCAGCGTTTTTGCTGCATTTAAAATGCAACATTTAGCAGTTTCGAACATATGTTTTCGAAGAGCGTTCATGCTATAGCATTTAGCAAATGTACATTTACGCGAGTTCGAAATCGTATGCTTTTGACAAACAGCCGTGTTCCAGTCTCTTATTTAAAGCCCTACTGAAAAGGAAAAAATAAATTTGAAACTAAAAATTCAATAAAAGACTTGAATTGTTTTAACCATAAGGCCCTGTCTCCACAGGAAAACACTGATGTCGTGAAAACTATGTCACAAAATATATTTCCAATGGAGACCGCCTATTTCTCATGTGCTGCAATATATGTCAGCCCTTATTGCTTGACATCTATTGCAGGCAATTCGATAGTTTGACAGCCATATTTTCATTTGTAATAAAGCGTGCTGGTGGTAACATCGATGAAATTTTTATATTAAATCAAAATAAAAGTCTGTTCCTTATTGGATTATTTATGATTACGTTTTAGGAAATTATTCAGCAAGTTTTTTAAAGATTTAAATGTTTTTAAACACCGAAATTGAGAGAATGTTGTCTGGTGGCGTCATGCGGCAAATGCTTATTTCAAGACATCAAAGTGCCCACACACAAAAACTTGCAATCACATTGCTCGTCAAAATGACAGTTGGTAGGCCATCGCTGTTCGCCTGTGGAGTTCTGCGGTAACCAAACATTTGTTTGTGTATACATATATTCATTTGTCGGTGCTGTCAATTAAAATTTTCTCACTTAATTAGGAAACAAACCAAACAGAGTTGGTCACAAATTGATCCAGATTTCTATCAGCATCACATCGATGTTGAATTTGCTTAACTTTTCTTTATCCAAATATGTAATGTAAAATAAAAGAAATCTCGATCGGCGATCACTGAAACGCAGCTAGCAACTGTATACTCGAAAAAGTAATGTTGCCACTTTTTCTCTTTAAACCATGTTCGAATCGTGGAAATTTTGGAAGATCACAGGGTTGCTTTTAGCATTTAGACTCTTAATGCAAAAATGGAGTTGCATTTAGTTGCATTTAGGTGAGGAATTTTGTATGGATAAATGTACATTTAGAGTAGCATTTAGAGCTAAATGCGCTAAATGTGCTTTTACGCGTAAGCAAAAACAGCCCATAACACTAACTACATGAACCAATTAGAACAGATCTGACCGGTTGAGCAGCAGCCCTTTGTAATAGCAATTGAGAAAAAAGTGTGTGGCGTTCGTAATTTTGAAGCTTGCTATTTCTGTTTTGCTTCTTTCTTTATGTGTATTTTGTCGGTGGTTTATTTCAGTGATTTTTAAGCGATTTTCAATAATTTTGTTGTGCAAATGTAATTAAAATGAAGTGCGCGGTGATTGGTGGCAAAAACACGTACAAAATAATAATTTGGTTAGCACAAACATGTGCTGCAAAATGGCGTGCATTTTTCTTTATGCTTCGTCTTCATATTCTTTGTTTACTTTTCAAAGAAAATAACATGGTGCCGAAATTACAAACGCCAGCCAGAAAATTACTTTTTTCTTTTGCTTCATCTTGTCAGATCTTGTGTAGTTGGATCCACTAACTACAGGTTGACCCAAATTGACCCCGTGTTGCCATATGGTAACGCAAAATACATCGGCGCGTATTCATAGTCCAGCAACTAACAGGTCTATTCTACACGTTACCGAAGATTTTGTAACCGAAAAATTGTATTACCAAAAAATGTTACCAGTTCTTGTCACCACGATTCTAGGTACGTTGGTAATGCAGTTAAAATATTCAGAAATTCAGCTATGAAGAATTGTGCAAATCCTGGCATTGCATATTTCACGGGGCAATAATTTGTTACCAGCTTATGAGATGGTAACAAAATTTACCGGTTACAAGAGTATACAGAATGCGAAAAGGGTTTAAAAATTTACAGGAACTTTATTCACCGCTTACAAACTTTTTATTACCAGCGCAGAATAGACCTAACAAAGTTGCAACTTAAATTTAAGTACCAACCAAGGTACATTGAACAGGTAGTATCAGTAGAGCAGCTGATTTGATTTACTTTCAAATTATTTGGTCTCGAAAATGTCAAATATTTTTAATTTTTTCTCACAAAAATTCTAAATTGTTAAAATCCATTTGCATGTGAAACCTTTTTCCATACAAAACAAGCGATTGAATAGCAGCTTTTGGAACGTTCGCCCAACTCAGCAGCACAACCGCTGATTACTGGCCCTTGTAAAGGATGGATCAATGCTTCGAGAAGCAAACAAATATACTAGGAAAGAAAATTGCAACAATTTTTATTTTTTCCAATTTAAATTTTTTATTATTTTTGTACTTCACATGGCACCCTTTGATTTAGAAGAAAAAATTCAGAACAGTTGTTGACACTTTCGATACCAGAAGCAACAACAAAATACACGCAAATGTTATGTCAACGCCCAGGACGGCGCAATCTTGTATTCTATCATTCTTGGTTTTTGCTCTACTGATACTACCTGTTTAATGTGCCTTGGTACCAACTTAAAATTTACCTCTATTCATAGTCGCATTTCGACTTAGTTTACGATATAGCAAAACGAGTGTGAAAATGTATCGATTTTTCTTTACGTTATGTTGGAAGAATTACATTTTTATTAAATAATGTCAAGTTTGATCATCCGTTTATGTAATTTTTATTTTCATTGCATGATTATGCAAAATAATAAGGTATCATTTTCTCGTTAATTGTGTGAAATAGCCAGAACAACCGCAGNCTAAATGTTATGCACAAATTTACTTTAAAAGAACTAGCGTGAAACTGACTTATTATTTGAGAATTTATCTAAATTATTCCAATTATAAAATTCAATTATAAAATTGTGATGTAGCTATATTCGAATTGTAATACGCATTTAATTCCATCTTCCGATTAAAAAGGATCGATATTTGTAAATTTTAATTGGAGATTATTCAATATTATCAAAATCACCCTCTACCAACTTAATTTTTACATATTTCGTCTGTTTTCCCTTAATTTGATAAAATACTTCTTCCTAGTTACGACTTAGTTGCAGCTGCAGCCGAAACTAAATTTTAAGTTCGTACTTAGCCAGAAAAGTCGAAACTAAGGAGACTATGAATAGCTTTAGTTGGGACTTAGAATAGTTTCGACTTAGTTGAGTACTAAATATGACTATGAATATGCGCCATCGTGTTTAAGAGGGTGTAAAATAAAAACCGCTTACTTAAAAATGCTTATATGAACGTTAAATAATTCCTAAAAGGTGTATCTTTCAAAACGCTTCCGTCAGATCCATTTGGCAACACGGGGCGTAATGTGAACTGTTCCTCTTTTTACCAAATTTTCATGGTTCNTTTCCTCACCGGTTCCTATTTCTCTTTGTCCTGGTCTTCCCCAAGACACTACTTCTGGCTCATTCGCGGGCGCCAATTCCAACCTGCGGCGCTGCTGTCATCCCTATCGTTTTATGATTGGGCGCCATTTTAATTATTGTAACGTACACGTACCTGTTTATCCGCCCTTCTGTCGTTTTTGCTATCAATGTGGTGACCCGTACTAGCTCAGCATTTGTGTGTGGCGCGGTTCCCAACCCTTGGCCACATTGAAGCAGGGCGGATGTTACAATCATCATCGGCATCTTTCGTCTCACAAGAAGCCCACCCGTCCTGGGACCGC